ATGTCTGTGGGCTCCAGTAACCACTTAACACCAGGTGGGCTGTGAGTTCGTCTATCCATCTAAGCAATAAAAAAATATTTATGAACGTTGAAAAACAAAAAATAGCCACCTATACAGTAACGAAAACAAATAGTAGTGGTGTTTCATCCCAATGGATATCGTTTCATTATTCAATTGGAAATAAATCACTTTCGCTGGACGACGACGATGTCCATTGGTTACGTAAATATACGATCGCAAAATACAATTTAATTCGTGTATAAATAAATGTTCTTTCATTTGTTTTTAGACTAACTAGAGGCCCCGCAGTAGTCGAAATTCGACTATAATTAATTAGAATTGTAAGTTTGTACACTATTATGATTGTATTTTATACTTCTATAAATTTCGCCAAGACTACACTATAAAAAATATTAACAAAGACAAACAATATTTAGTCTATTCTCAATTTGACAACAGACGTCAAGAACAAAAGTTTGACAATAAATAGTATGCATGCGTGTGTGCGTCAAATACATGGTATGTAGTGTGTGTAATGTTTTCTTTGATTGTTCCGAGACAATTGCTCTATGGCAAACCAGAGGGCCGCAGAAGTCGTGGCAGACCCAAACTCCGATGGTTGGATGGCGTGGAGCGCGACCTCAAAAATATCGGCGTCAAGAACTGGAAGGAGAAAGCCCTGAACAGAGCAGTCTGGAGAGACATACTGGACCAGGCTAAGGCCCACCCTGGGCTGTAAGGCCTAAGATGATNTGTTCCGAGACAATTGCTCTATGGCAAACCAGAGGGCCGCAGAAGTCGTGGCAGACCCAAACTCCGATGGTTGGATGGCGTGGAGCGCGACCTCAAAAATATCGGCGTCAAGAACTGGAAGGAGAAAGCCCTGAACAGAGCAGTCTGGAGAGACATACTGGACCAGGCTAAGGCCCACCCTGGGCTGTAAGGCCTAAGATGATGATGAATGTTTTCTTTATTGATTTAATGTATCTTTAATGCATTATTAAAAAAAAATATTAGCATTGTGCACATCTTCTCTCTATTCTCTATAAGTGTGGAAAATTTCATACTTCTCCGTCAGCGCAATTTTCGTAAAAAAGGATACAAAGTTTTTGCTTCACGTATTAATTATTAATATATAGAGATGTACGCTATGTTGAATGAATTAAAATATAGGATAGAAGTCTTTGTTTTATTGCCCTTGTAGGCAGAAGAGAGAAAAGAGCATACGGCCCACCTAATGGTGAGTGGTTACCGTAGCCCATGAACTTCAGCAACGCCAGGGGCAGAGCCAAGCCGCTGCCTACCTTTTATACGGGATCAGCCATTGCCGTTTGATAAACATATAAACATACATAATATATTATTACAAAATCCTTTTATATACGGCCTTCGAAGGCAGACCAATGGCTTACATGACAGTTAGTAATCAGATTCACTAATGGATTTTAGCAAGGACAAAGCTATGACAGCGCCTACCGGAAGACCTCTGTTCAAACTTCGTCTGAATGTTGGCCTTTTAGGGATATACTGTATACTGACGTATATCGTCAGATAACTACGTACAAAATATGTTACAAAAATCTCCTTAATTTTGGAATATTCTAGAATATGTTATATGTTCTATATATTAATTATTTTTTGGAATGTAGTTAAAATAATTTACTTGAAAATAATAATTTTATATATATGTACTGTGTTTTTTTTTGTTCGTGAGGAAATCGCCGAACTTGGGCTTTCCTGCCTTCGAATGCAGACCGATGGCCTACATGACGATTAGTAGTCAGAGTCGCTAATGAACATCAGCAAGGACAAAGCTATGATACCGCCTATGGCAAGGCCTCTATTCAAACTGCGTTTGAATATTGTATACTAACATATATCTTGTCAGATAATACGTACAAAATATGTTACAAAAACATACTTAATTTATAATAATCTAGAATATGTTCTACGTTTTATATTCTTAGGAATACGGTTAAAATAAATTACTTAAAAACAATAATTTTAAATAATGTGTTTAATTGTTTAGGTTATATAACTACGATTTTTATTGTATTAACTTTAATAACCTTTTTAACTCAACTAATGAAAAAGAAATGTTATTCTTCCTACCTATCCGTTCTTAGTTTATGGGGCTATTCCAACTACGTACGGACAGGTAGGTGAGCTCACGGGCTCAACCTGAGAGAATTTGCTAACACTAGTTCTAACAAGAGCAATGCTTAGCAGAATCTACCACTGAATCTGGATCGCGACACACGGAGAAGATACGGAAACAGCTGTTATGTCTTTGCGAACCTGATAAACGACTCATCACCACCATAAAAAAATCCAGACTGTTAATCGAAATATTGCTGGCCAGAGTTCAATGCGCTCTAACGAGACGAGGAACGCTCGCTGCATTGACATCGAGAATCGATGGACTGCGACAAAATAATTGAATAAGATTAAAACAACAATTAATTTCGTTTTTTATTCACTGGACAATAACAGCTGTTTTAGAACACCATATAAATAATCATTCGTCCATCCCGCTATATTTGTTTAGAGGGATGCATTATTTCAATGTTGCTGCAATATAAAAAACAAACGTGTGGCACTCGGGAACTCTGCCGCGGTAAAGCATTTTTTATCAACTTATGCAATTATAATTAGACAATGATAATTTAATATTAAAACAATAATAAAACAAGACCACTTTATATTAAACATTAATAAAAGCAAAACCTTAACTGTCCCCTTCACACTCATAAGCTAGATCGCGCGAGAGAGAGATGGGCAGACTTTTCATGATGCGCATGCAGTGTGACGTCACGCTACGCGCTTATTCACAAACACTACACAAGCGCAACGTGTGAATGTGTTGAACGCGCGCTACATGGTAGGCGGAGTGAGGGGTGTAATGTTTTTTTCGTTACGGAATTTCATGATTCGATCGCCGCGCTCAAGGCCCGCGACAAAAGTTATGCAATAGCTTAAAAATATTATATCTAAGTAGTATTTATTTCATATATTTTGTACACACAGCTGCTAGAAGAAACACGACAATAAGGATACAGAGTACAAAGGCACTACTTATTTCATGTTGAAATCTTTTCCAGTAGGCCCGGAAAGAAGAATTAGGAACACAAACCGTAATCATAATTGTATTCACTGTTGTAATCTTCCCAAAATGCTCCAAAATTCTTTCATTCTACATTTTTGACGTGACAACCTCTTATAATTCGATGAAGCCGGCTGCACGCACGAAAATACATGACTCATGCGGCGTTACTTCGCTTTGAGGCGTATTTTCGACGTTGTCACGTTCAACTATCATCAGTAAACCGACTTTACAGACACCTAATTTATTTTGTATGTTTAAATCGTGCAACCATTTAGCGATGTGATCAAATTACTTCGCTCTGAGGCGTATTTTCTTATGACGTTGTCACGTTCAACTATCATCAGTAAACCGACTTTACAGACACCTATTTTATTTTGTATGTTTAAATCGTTTTGGCGATGTGATCAAATATTGGGTATTGGCGGATGGTAATCATGTTAACCAATCCAAAGGTTCGTTACGTCGACATTCCAATCCAAGTTAGTTTAATTTCATGTGTCAAGTTGAACAACGGTATTCGTGTAGGTATATGTGGGCTTTCGTTAAATATCTCACGTCAAATATACTGTGAGTCGTTCCGCCTAGATGTAGGTACCAATACAAATCCATACTTCGAGAATAAAACTGGTCTTTATAGACCTTATATCACGATTTTATTTTCTTAGTATATGTATAATATGTATTTTTTTATGCAACTGAATCATTGAATGTAATCTGCACCGACTTTAAGACGTTCGATTAATTCGGAAATGGGTACACGTATCAAGGATCATTAAAATTTCAATATAATTTTAATACTCGTAAATAAAACAGAGCAAATTCTAAATTGTTGAATCGCTCGTTGGAAGGAACAATCCCGGGGAAGATCCTTTTTCCAAAATAATTTCACAGACATAGAGTATAAAGTTTTTTTTTTACTGGTTAATGTTTAGCACCATAATAATTTATGTACAAAAGTATTTGTCTTTATAATTGAGCAATTTTTGAGAAGACCATTTTGTAATTCGTTTATTGGAGACTATAAAAACTCGAAATTAAAATCCCATTGCACATCTGGAGTACGATGTTGGAATATCAGCTATTCCCTTATACATCAGATTGACACTCTAAATCGAAATAAATCGCTCGACTATTTCGCGACAGAATTGTCTAAGTTTACCTACGACTACTTTACCGACCCCTATACATTTTAGTATACCTATATAATTATGCAGATGTTCTTCCATTATCGGAAACGTTGTTTGTTAAAATGTACATAAATTAAATGAAGTCATCACGACTTAGAATAAAACGCCTGGTGCACTCATAAAGAACAATGCGAATGTGCCGGTGTTCATATCCCGCAGGAGGACACCGATGAAGGACGTGTATAATAAATCAAACCCGCAAACATTATAATTGGCGTAAACAAACATTAAGCAATAAAGACATAGATCTCAAGCCCAAGGTTGACGACAACATTCATGTTTAAGGGTCACGGTAACGATTTAACACCATATCGGCCTGGAGCTCGTCTATAAAAATATATAACATAAAAATTACAAACGTATAAATAATGCTTCGTTAATATATTCGTGTACCTATCGTGTACGACTTAACGATTCCAAAATTTAATATCGATATTATGTATGTACCAATTTCAAATTATTAGGGTAAGTTTGTGTTTAGATTAAATATAATAGTAGTAGTAAAATTATAGCTAATCTTAAGAAAACTCAGACCTTTCAATTGAAATCCAAGAAAAAAATTTTAAGCATCGATTTATACATTTAACATTAATAGGATATTATTAGAAAAAACATATTTCATTTTGATAACTTTAACTGTTTTTAGACCATTGATAATAACAAAACGCAATGTCAATGACATAACGTCAAAACGGAAAACCCAAACGTCAAAGTTGTAGGTAAGTAACTTGCCAAAAGTTGTTTTTGTAAATTTGCCTGAAAACACTTTCGGATTTGCTTTAATATTCATAAATCTGTTTATATCCAAATTAAATTGGAAATTATAGCAGGTTTCTAATTACGTATTCTTTAAAATAATACAACTTCCGGGATATTACGTCAGTTTTTAGTATTGTTACAACGTTATCACTTTCCCTAGATGTAATTACGCAGAGATGTCTTTAACAATGGATTGTGTGGCTAAATTGAAAATTCTGTTGCTTGGTGAGAGTGGCGTTGGTAAATCTAGGTGAGTTAATATTCTTTCAATAAGAACATATTAATTTCAAAACCAGAACGACAACAGCTGACTCATACTGCTGCGATGTGATTGTCTTACATACTTACTATAATTTTAAAACTAAAAGTTGACATTAGACTCATGTACATACGGTTTTCTTGAGATGTGAAAGAATTTTTAATGAAAGCAGATATTTATTTTCAAAAAAATGCAAAACTATATTTAAATTTGTCAACTAATTACAATTATTGGAGTTGTACGTAGCTATATCAATATTTATGAATATTTATATATTACATGATTTACTCGTTAAGTATTGTAGTTCAAAATATATGGTAAATAATAAAAACTTACCTAGATTAGAATAAGAATAGGTACCAAACATTGTTCTTCTCCAGTATTATATTAGCGTTCACAAAAGGCGACTACCAAGCACAGTTCCCTGCTACAATCGGAGTGGACTACAACCATAAGATTATGGATGTAAATGGACTAAAAGTTAAACTCGGAATTTGGGATACGGCAGGACAAGAACGATATAGAACTTTAACAACCAGTTTTTACAGGTACACATTTAATTTAACACTTTATCAACTATTGTATTAAATTGGCCTTTTTTTTATTACCAACGCCTATAATTCCTGCTTAATCACTTTACCTATTGACTGATTACTTCTAGTGGAATTAGTTTTACACTAACTTCTCCATATCCTTATATATTATAATAGAATATGTATGCATATGAAACTAGTCTCTATTCAAGTGCAAAAACTACTGAACAATGGTGTTAAAATTGAAATACACCTAATGCAAACTGTAAAAAAATATAATTTTAATATTGTATGCAAATGAATAGTAAGTTTAACTTATACAAGCTTCTATCGTGTCATCATTAGTACGTTTGTTTCAGAGAAGCGCACGGTGCTATATTAGTTTATGACGTATCTGAACCAAAAACCTTAGCAAAGTTAAACGAATGGGTTGAAGAGTTACAAGTTTACACTACGAATAAGAATATTGTCTGTTTGGTCGTTGGAAATAAAATTGATAAGGTGATATTATTTATTTTAGTTTATGCTATTTCATTTTTAGTAAGCATGCATGGGCAAGCCATGTTCAAAACACCAGTCAGATGGTCAGATCTATAGTAGTCTATATCATGTGGTCAATGCCACCCATGACTGAACATGAGGAAAATCAGATGTGGTGGTGATCCTCACCAGTGAGGGAATGTAAAGAAGATCTTAGTTTCATGCATAATAAACTTAGTAACTATGGGTATAAATGCTCATAGTCTGTATTGTACAGTGCTTCCTGAAAAAGAATTGTCATTGTTGAAATAATTTAATCCTTCTATAAGTCTTAAAGAGTAACTGGTGCCAAATAATTTAGGATAGAGCGGTACCCCGTGAACACGGTCAGGCCTTCGCTCAGAAACACAGAATGCTTTTCATCGAGAGCAGTGCTAAAACACAAGAAGGCATACATCTCGCCTTTGAGGAACTGACCCAAAAGGTATAGTTTTTTTTTTATTGTCCTTATAGCCAAACGAGCATACTGCCCACTTGATGGTGAGTGGTTTCCGTCGCTCATGGGCGTTATAAATATCAAAAGCAGAGCCAAGTTACTGCCTATCATAAGTAACTGACCCAAAACGTATGTTACTTAATTTTATGTTTTATTCTATTTCTATAAGGGTTCTTTTAATTTGTTCCTTCTGATTTTTGCTACCCCATCTTATTCTTGTTAGTACTAGTGGCTATTTTCATCAACGATTAACATCAGATAATTACTCCAAAACATTGTTGAAGAACCTGATAACTTGTTAATTGGTCTCATAAAATAGTAATTAGCTCCATTGACTGATCTGAGTCAGCCTACGAAATTACTATTTTGATAATTTCGTGGTCAAATACTATCTATCATTCGTAAACTTGGAGCTGAAGAAACATGATCTACACTATATCGTTGCAGTGACACGTGGGACTATAAAAAGGATTATGGTGATAGGACCTCTTGAGAGTCCACGTAGGTAGGTACCACCACCCTGCTTATTTTTGCCGTGAAGCAGTAATACGTTTCGGCTTGAAGGGTGGGGCAGCCGTTGTAACTATAGCTGAGATCTTAGAACTTATGTCTCAAGGTGGGTGACGCATTTACGTTGTAGATGTCTATGTGCTCCAGTAACCACTTAACACGAGGTGGACTGTGAGCTCGTCCACCCATCTAAGCAATAAAAAAAAAAGTATAGTATATTTTTTATCTCAATAGATTATCGAAACTCCTGGATTATGGGAGAAAGACACATCGGCTTCAAACATTCGGGTTACAGAAGAAGAAACGAGAGGACAAGGTGGATCGTGCTACGAAACAACTTGTTCCATAAAATAAATGTTAAAAATAACTGTGATCCGGAGGAATATCAGATTTTATATAATATCACTGATTCGTAGAATCAAATTTATAATCGCATTAAACTGGTAATGTTATTATTACCAATGAATTGATATAATCCGAATGAAGATTAAATTTAAAATAACTTTACAGTTTTAGTTAATTTAAATTATGTCTACATCTCGCGAAAACCGAAGAAAATATCATTAAAGAGTAAGATTAAAGAGCACAGCACTAAAAAAATTACCAATTAATTGGTATCAATATAACTGATGTTATTGCTTTTTCGTTAATATTTTAGATATAATTGCGATTAAATGTTAACTCTTTGACTGCCATTTAGGTCACCGGTGATAATGTTAGGCACTTAGTAACAGAAATCAACATAATTGCTTCAGTGCGCCGCGTAGGTCACCGGTGACCTACACGGCAGTCAAAGGGTTAAACAACATTTGTACAGAATAATGTGTGTCATATGTGTTGTCTGGGTTCAAATTATAATTGTTTTCATTTGTGTTAATTTTTTACTTTAACACGTTGACTGCTAGTTGCCTGTAGGGCACTGGTGACCTTTTCGATTTTCTTACTTAGACATCGGAAGATCTAGTAGACTCGGAGAAAGGCGAATCTGAAGATACTGAGAAATAATCTGTTTCTAAGATACCTAAAACGGCCTAGTTAGGCAATCCAGACGATTAGTAACAGAAATCGACATTATTACTTCAGTGCGCTACGTAGGGCACCCGTGACCTACCTGGGTAATGTGTTGAGCAATTTGGCTTTTTTGAAGAAGACGTACTGACCATCGATGGCTGGTATTGTTATTCAGGCAAGACGGAGCAAGAGGTCACAGTTGCCCAAACGATTTCGTGTTAGGCATCCCCAGCTCTTTCCAGGAATTTCACCTTTTTCTTTTCCTCAACCTAGTCGCTGGTAGCCGAAGAGGCTATTCCACTCGGACGGATAGGTGAGCTCACGGGCTCAACCTGAGTAAATTTCTAACACTAGCTTTAGCCAAAGCAGTGCTTCGTCGAATCTTTCACCGGATCGGAATCGCGACCCACTGAGAAGATCCGGCGAAAACGGTGACCAGTAAATGGAGAGCCTAAAAGCACCGAGAGTGGATCGGGAGGATCCTATAAGACACGTTTAGGACTACATCGACTTTGCGTTGCCCCATCATCTGGGTTGGATATGTAGTTAGGGACGGCCACAATGAGAGGGTTATCGTGACGCGCCGCTTTTTCAAAGAAGCGTTCTGACGCTGTCTTCAGATACGTACGTATCGGTTCTAATTGGAAGTCACCGTGAAGAACCTCCTCATATACCACGGTGTTCCGGCTATCTTGCAGAAACTGGATTGGATAACGTAGAGAGTTTATGTACTTGCGGGTCCCGTGAGCGAAAACTATACTTGCGTATGCCATTACGGAACATATTATGCAAGCTTTGTATGGTGTTTAGTGTCACCTTGTTATGAAAATGTTACCAATAAACCATGTTCCTAAGTGACTTTAAACAAAAGATGGGGCGTTAAAACTAAAATTCTCGTCAATCGAATCTTATGCGCTTTGCGATTTGCAAAACCAATTTGCTTGTGATGGTAACACACATTCGGTTAACCATCGTAACTCCAGAACAGAGGTCATCCCTTCCTAGAAAATATTTATTTAATAGCATATAGGTACGCTCTAACCTCTATTTCTAGAGGATTGATTTTCATTGCTCTTCCACTACCCTATCATTTCATTAAGTTATTGAATCAGCAATCAACAGCGAAGGCAAGCTGATCGCTTCATACAAGGACATTGACCTTAGCCGATTCATTGAGCTATTTGTGTTACATTACGTGCTGTGCAAAAACGTTAGTAAAAGTTTTATTTGTTTTATTGATTAACGAATTAGTTGATCTAGTGTTAATTAGTTACCGGGGCCGGGGCACTTTGAGACATGAGGTCGAAATTTTAATTGTATAACGGCTGTCACAAGGATATTGAAATGTATGACTGCTCGCGGCAGATATAAACCTTACCATAGCAGGCCTCTAATATTTCCAATAAAATAACAATATATCTAATCACATCAGAAAGCTTCAGTGTGAACCCATGTCTTTGTGTATCGGAGGCTTCCTTTACGTCAGCTGTTATAAAGCTTACCTTAGAAATGTTACAATTTCCAAATAAGATTTCCAGACGATTGATATGAATATTTCTAACAATTATGACTTTTTTTTTTGTTGCCCTTGTAGGCAGACGAGCATACGGCCCACCTGATGGTGAGTGGTTACCGTCGCCCATGGACTTCAGCAATGCCAGGGGCAGAGCCAAGCCACTGCCTACTGCTTCAAAACCTTTAGCTTTAGCTTCGTACTTAGAAGTTGTGCACAATTTGTAAAATATTAATATTTTGAATCTAATTTAGAGAGAACACTTACACTAGTGTTGTTTGTATGTTGCAATTACATTATATTTATCTATTTTATTATATTTAGTGGGTATGATAATTTTATTATTTTGCCAAAATGATTATTGGCATCTTGTGCTGTATTTTTAATAAAACTATGAAAGCAAATTTACAAAACAATATTTACAAAGATTTTCGTTGTTTTATTTTCATTCGTATTTCCCGACATTACAAAGTCGGAAATCCAAATATTTCAAAAACATATGCTACCTACATTTGTAGGATAATATTTCTTAAAATAAATCTCCTCTCTCCTGACTTACAATCTTCAGGATTGAAGCCTCAAGGTACCTTCTGTGATTTCGTGACTGCATTTTTATTGTAGTAGAGGGGGAAGAGGTCGACCGAAGAAGAAATGATTGGAGTGTGTCAATGACAATATGTGAGAGAGAGGAGTGAGTGTTGAGCGGACGGCTGATAGAAGAGAAGAGAAAAATCAGCTGTGCCGACCCCACCTAGTGGGATAAGGTGAAGAAACAGAAGAAGATTTTTATTGTAGCAGATCGTTCAATAGAGCTTAATCTCACCTGATATTAAGTGATTAGTGAAGCCCATAGATATCACATCGGGAATAATAACCATGGTCAAGTCACACACGGTTTTCTGCCCCCAAACTAAGATTCCCTGTCCCATACAAACCAGACTGATATACATATTTATATACGCTTAAATATATACATATATAAATATCAAACATCCAGATAAAGAGTAAACAAGCCTGTTCGTCATCCGAACGTTTGCTTGACGTGAGAATCGAACCCACGACCCTATACCAGCAGTCAGAGCCGCTAACTACTACACCACCGAGTTAGTCAAACGCCGCCATCGATCTTGTAATATAAGATCTAAATCTAAATTGTTTAATGTAACAGTTCTTCCACCTTTCGAACCGGTATGCATTACTGCTTCACGGCAGAAGTAGATAGGATACCCGTGCGGGCACAAGACCATCAATGACAGTATTGGTAAAAATGTAGAAAGTTCTAGATGGTTGTGGATGGCCCTTAGCTCGTTTAAGAATCGAAGTGTGGAACCCCAGAAACATTTGGCTGGATTGATTAGAACGCTATATTCCTTTAGTCTGACAAGCACCTGTCGCACGTGGGTCATGTGAAGATCACGTGACTCGGAAAAAAATAATAAATCGTCCATGAACCCGTAGCAGAAGTCGATTAAGCCGGTGAGCACTTCATCAATAAACCGCTGAAAAGTTTGAGCTGTGTTTCTTAGACCAAATGCCATGTACGGGAACTCAAACATGCCAATGGGTGTAGTGATCGCTGTCTTGGGTATGTTGGAGAGATTTACGGGAATCTGATTGTAAGCTTTAACAAGATCAATTTTCGAAAAGCTATTGAGTAGAGTCCTGAATAGGCATGATGTCGCACAGGGTTATTGATTGGGCACAGCACGAGCGTTTAGTGCACGGTAGTCGCCACAGAAGCATTAAAAAAGTCAAGATAAAAACATGTCTGTAATTAGTAGGACAATTAAGCAAAACTATTTCTTTAACGAAGCTAAATAAATTAACGATGAGTACGCTATCTATTTTAAGCGCTTTTGCCACAGCGCTAATCGAGTAAAATGGCAATTACGGAATCATTTAATGGTAGATAATAACAATACCTACTAGTCTACGTCAATGAATAATGGATCACGTTTATGTAAAATTCAAACAATGTTACAACTTAAGAAACTGATGTAAATATTATAATATATTTGCCTATAGAAACAGCTTCAAATCCAATATAGAAAAGTCCAAATATGGGGGGGTGAGCTGGAATTCGTTATCCATACTAATATATAAATCTACAGTGGTTTTTACGGATGTTCCGTTATAACTACTGAACCATGCATCCGATTGACTTGAAACTTGGTATCCATGTAGAAAATACATGTACTTAATGGATAGGCTAATATTTATATGAGTGTTGGACTCCCTACACCAGTTGCAGGGGCGTTAATGATGAGAATATTTGCGGGGGTGAGAAATAATAATGTTAATTTTAAATGCCCAGCGAAACGGACGTGTACAGCTAGTAGCTTATAAAAGCTGTAGTTGTCCATTTAAACATAAACCAAAATCTGTACTCTGTTAACTGTCGTTTTGTATCCAAACAAATCTAGGGTCGATAAAACAACATCTCTTAACGGCCGTCTGGTGTAGTGGTAAGTGACATGATCACTACACAAGGGGGTCGCGGGTTCGAATCCCGCCAAGGGAATATATTTGTATGATAAATATAAATGTCTATTCCAGGGTTATGGATGTATATTAAATATATGTATGTGTATAATAAAAATCTTACATTTATATCCGTTATCTGGTACCTGTAACACAAGTTCTTTACGAACTTATCACGGGACCAGTTAACGTGGCGTCATTGTTAGTAAAATTTTATTTATCTCAAGACAAATTATCACTACATGCTGCTCTGGGAAATTTTCGAAATGACTAATCGATAAATTGTAAGCGAATACATACAAGTCGATATAAAAATCACATCGATAAATTCTCGTAATGATTTTCATATAATAAACGTTCTTGAAATACGAAGGAAATTAGGTTCTAAACGAAAAGGTTTAAAGGTGAAAATGCCACTGAAGAAATATTCTCGTAACGCTAAATATTTTCGAACAGGCTTGAAAACGCACGGATTTATATTACGTACGCTATTCGCATTAAAATGGTTTATGATTCACAGTGCGTATGTTTCTGATTACTTTGAATGGCATAACAAGTGACGTTTATGGGTTTTATGGGAAACAGAGATTTAAAAAATCAACAGTTTTAAAAAGAATAGTACTTCTAAAAATTAAGTACCTACCGTACTTATTCATGTTTGACAGAGAAGCTTTTTGACAGATTCAGCTGTCAATGAATATTGAAAGTAGTTTGCCAGTTTTAAAAATACCCAATCAGTGTTAGGATATATTTGTGCAACAGAAAAAAAATATCGACTTTTTTCATTTAAATTGTTAAACGAAATCATAAGTTTAAGATTTAATTAAATTATTTTCTCAATTCACCACAATGCTTAATGAATCAGAAAAAAACTATTCAAGAGCGCCTAAAAGGATTTAAAAAATAATGTAATCACATTGTCTTGTGATAATATTATTAGGTATATTCAGAGAACATAATCTTAATTTCAATAATCTTAATTTCAATTTATAATTAATTTCAAATTACCACCAAAAATAATTATATTTAAGATTACCAATTATTATACTTTTAGATAAAATTACTAAACTTTAACAGGTAATACAGCTCATAACTTTAATTTAGCTGTGAATAAAGTTGTATTTGCTTTACATCATACTCGTGCTCTTAAGATACCATCGTCTCGTTTTACCATCGCACCGCCCGCCATCGGAGTAGAGTTCATCCATACTACCTGGAGCCACTGCGTTCATCCACAGTGCGTTTCCACAGATCCTTTTTGCCACGTACCATCCGGGTTTGGAATGAGCTCCCCTCCACGGTGTTTCCCGAGCGCTATGACTTGTCCTTCTTCAAACAAGGCTTGTGGAGAGTATTAAACGGTAGGCAGCGGCTTGGCTCTGCCCCTGACATTGCTGACGTCTATGAGCAACGGTAACCACTCACCACCAGATAGGCCGTATGCTCGTCTGCCTATAGACATAAAAAAACAACATTTTGGTCAAAAGAGAAATTCGGCTAGCGCTCCAAGAAAATATCAATCCGTATGTCCCCATGTACCTATATGTATATATATCCAGAACTGTGGGCATTTCCGATGTCGCTGGTTAATTCTAACACTGGGACTGCCCATTTATCACCAAACGTCGAGGACAAATAAGCGTACGAAAGCTGCCCTCAATGGCCTCAAGATGTAGTCTCCGCACTAATGAGCGCCCATCATTCAGCAGGCCTCCGGGATAAACGTTGACAAATCTATAAAAGACACACTCATTATGATTTATAAGTGAAGAGTGTGTTTTGCTTGAATGAAACACATTTACGGTTAAGTGCACGTTCTTTTCGATAATAAGCGAATGTATGTTTGTAATAAATTCACTTATTACACGTTTGACTAATGAGATCATCTTCTATTCGAGTCTTATTGTTCTATATTTTAGTATCGCAATTGGCTTCTTGTCATTGTTGTCAGTGTTGAGTTTATAAAAATCTTCAATTACTAAATGTATATGTAAAGATTCTGTTCCAACCAGACTCAAACGAGACTTGTGCACTGCTGGAGTCCATGGGCGACGGTAACCACTCACCATTAGTTGGGCCGTATTTTAATTTTTTTATTGCTTAGGTAGGTTGACGAGCTCACAGCCCACCTGGTGTTAAGTGGTTACTGGAGCCCATAGACATCTACAATGTAAATGCGCCACCCACCTTGAGATATAAGTTCTAAGGTCTCAGTATAGTTACAACGGCTACCCCACCCTTCAAACCGAAACGCATTACTGCTTCACGGCAGAAATAGACGGGGTGGTGGTACCTACCCGTGCGGACTCACAAGAGGTCCTACCACCACCGTATGCTCGTCTGCCTACAATGGCAATAAAATAAAACATATACATTATT